AAGGGTCTATCTAGTCTAGCATTCAGTTCACAGTGTCTAACCAGCTGCCCAGAGGACATTCACGCACAGGATATGGGTGCAATAGCTCCCATTCATGTTCACCTCCATCCAGTGTACATAGGCATACTACTTCTGATACTGGAGGTGACCAGCAGCTTTTAGCCCAATCCTGCATGAATGCATCCAATCCCTTTTTAAAGCCATACATATTGGTGGTCATCACTACATCTCATGCCAGCAAATTCCATAAAGTAATTGTGCACTGCATGAAGTAATACTTTTATCTGATCTACATCCCACTAAATCAGCTTCAACTTTTCCTAGGCTGCTTAATTCAGCAGGAATGATCAGGCAGTTGGGAGCCAATGTGCTTGCTCACCCTTGCTGCTTTATGAATTCACAGTTAAACTCAGGGTTGAAAGTGATGTGAACCAAATTAATAATATATACTTTTCTCTCATTGTTTAAACTTAAGAGAAAAAAAACCCAAGGCATTGCAAACTGTTGACACACTAAAAGTGTGAACTATTTCAACAGAGCTCAACTCCACCACAGAGGCTGTTGGGATGCTTTCAGTGTTGCCACACTATCAATTACTTCCATTTCACGCTATGGCACATGAATGGCAGTTTGCACTTCTTCTTTTGCTAAGCAGTAAGATAGCTGCAGGTGACGCAGTGGTTTAAACCGCTGTGCTGCTGGGCTGGTAGATTGAAAGGTCGCCAGTTCAAATCTGCACAATGGGGTGAGTTCCCGTTGCTCCATCCCAGCTCCTGCCAACCTTGCAGTTCAAAAGCATGCAAATGCAAGTAGATAAAAAGGTACCACTTCAGTGGGCAGGTAACAGCATTCCGTGCACTTCGGTGTTTAGTCATGCCGGCCACATGACCACAGAGACTGTCTGCAGACAAACGCTTGCTCCCTTGGCTAGGAAGGGGAGATGAGTACTGCCCTCTAGAGTCAGACATGACTGGACGTAACATCAAGGGAAACCTTTACCTTTTAAGATAGCTGTAGACTTCCCTAAAGTTTAGGTAAGACATGGAAAGGTCTTGGGGGACTTATGGTAGATAACTTAGTGATGTAAAATTGCTGTGCAGCAGTTGTGTAAGAATTCCAGCCTAGGGCTTATATATAACCCGCCCAGAGAGCCCTATGGCTAATTGGGCAGGTTAGAAATTAAATAGATAAATAAATTTCCTTAGGAAAAAAGACTGCAAGCTGCTCTTGCATCTTATGTGAATCTGTGGTATAGTCACAGTCACAATTCTAATTGCCCCATCTCAGAAGAAAGCATTAGAAGTGGTACACTGTTACAGTTTACTACCAAACATGGGACTTTTTCTATCAATGGCTACAGAGTTGGAATTTTAATTCGGGCTGAAATACATAGCATTTGTAGAGAGAAATAAGATTTTGTACACAGTATGTTTGAAGTCTTTGGAATAATTATTTGTTTAGCGAGTAGAAAACAATAAAACTTTGAAAACCAAGAGAGGTACACTGAGCGGTATTAAGGAATAATGACATAACCTGCTGACAACAGAGGGCAAAATCACTTGGAGCCTTTTAGTTAAAGAAAAAAAGAAAAAAGAAGAATTTAATAGAGGTATATAAAATTATCAAAGGGAACTCTCCCTAATGTACCATCATTCAAGCTTACCTAATGGAACTCATTGGCAGTTGATTTGGGACATATAGGAGGACCTTCTCTCTGATGCATTATTTATGGGATGTGGTTGATAGCCAAGTGGTGACAGCCGATAGCTTAGAATGATGGCAATTGGAACATTTCTGCCTCCATGCCCTGCTTGTGGTCTTCCTGGAGGCATCGGGTTGGCCACTGTGAGCAGTTGCTGAACTTGAATAGCTCCTGATATGATCCAGGATGTTTGTCTTACTTTTCTGAAAGGATAGCAATTTCTACCAAACCCGCTCTGTTATAACTTTCTAATCACTGAGCTGACTGGCTTTTCCCCCCAGACACACTACTTCTTCATATTTCACATATCTAGACCTGCTTTACTCCCACTTCTGTAGTTCCCACCCCAGTCTGTTTTCTCCAAAAAGGAAAGCTTGCCAGGGCAATTAGTCTTCCTTTAGGGAGATATACTTTCAATAGAATGTGTCCAACTCTGATGTATGCATACTGAAGATTGTTGGACAGTATGAATACAACTACAGATGCACAGATTTTGCAAATTCATTCTGACTGATTTGCAGATTGTTAACCATCTTTTCTGCCATAGTTCACTCATTGTCTGAACTGGATTGTTGTAAAAGATGTACATGAATTTAGTACCCATTAGCATTGATGCAATCAGTAAAAGTATACGCTCGCACAACTTATCCCCTCTTTCCCAGATCACAAGTGTGTATGACTCAGGAAAAGTTGGTCTGCTGCAGGATCTGCAAGTCAGAGCCGTGGAAATTGAAAGTCATTTGAATCTGTTGTATACTTTTCTAGCACCCATGTGCCTAACTCTACCATAACCTAAATGTAAGGCTTTCACTTATGGCTAAATCAATTTAAGTTTGGAGATGGCAGAATAGAAAGACAAGATTAGTAACATGTTTTAGGGTTAAGAATGTTCCATATGAAGCTTTATGGCCATGTCCCTCCTTACCTCAAGGCATAGAAGTGTCATTTATTAAGCCTGAAAGCACTTCACATATGTCACAATTCAGCAAGTTATAGAACTGCATGTAGACCGTTCATCCCTGGCATCTCCCGATAAAAGGATCAAATAGCAGCAGTGACAAGACATCTTCCTGAGACCCAGCTGTTAGTTCAAGTAGACAGTGAAGGAATAGATGGACCAGTGGTCTGACTCAGACAAGGTGGCTCACATGTTCCAAATCAGTAACATAAACCTCATTTGATCAAGGTGTGGCTGATTTAGCACTACATGATGCAAGACCTGTCCCAGATGTCCACCCTCACAAGGGGGTTGAGGTTCCAATAACAAAAGAAAACTATTCCAGAAAGTACAAGCTTACTGTGAGTCTGTCTGGTAGGGACCTTCATTTATTGACTGTTTATTTATAGAAAGCAATAGGAAAACAATCACATCTCTTCCTATCTGCCTTTACAACCATCATTACTTGATTCCATTATGCTGTTAGTTTTTCCATATATTAACTGTGTAGTTAACAATACCATCTGTTTTAAGCTAGGTGCCTCAGAAATGCCACGAGTGATAATGAGTGCCATGATCAGTCAATTAAACAGAAACATGGAGATTTCTACTATTTAACTTTAGGAATTTGGTGCCCTGATGGGCTCCTCCTGTTCACTCTTTATCACCATGTCTTTTAGATAATACACCTACAACACAGTCACTTGCAGATGGCCTTGCTTCTATTAATCATAAGTAAGTTACTCTGGGAACCTTTTCAGCTGAAGAGATAAGCTTCAAATAAAGCCAGGCTGCATCTTCTTCCTCTTACATTTCTCTCCCAGCTTCATGTGCAGTGACAGGTAGGATTTCTTCAAGTCATTGCCAGGGAGGTGGTGGTGTCAACCTTGGTTTTGCATGAGCGTGGCTGTGCATGGCAGCATGAACGTACAACTAAGACTTCAGTGCAAGTGTTAAGCTTCTTGGAAGAGAACCCCAACTGTAAATCTGCTCATACAGATACACAAGGGAGTCACAGTTGTGCTTCTCCTGCAAAAATACTGCAGAGATTACGGAGGTGTTCATGCTCCTCTATGGCAACCACACAGGTGGAAGGAGAAAGACTGGCCACACAGTAATCCTTCGCCTTCCCTTGGGCAGCATTCAGCACCTTTTTGTTATTGCCCGATGTTTCACAGGACAGTACAAAAGCACTGGGCATAGCTAGAGGTGCTTACTGGCTTGGCAAGGAAGAGATTATCTTTGCTCCAGCATTTATCTGCATTAATAAAAGTGCTACCACAGTTTCATGATGATACAGCCCTAAAGCCACATGCAGATGGTTCACATTACCAACAATTAAGTGCCTTCAGTTGCTATGGGTCCTTCGTATGTTGTTATTCATTTGGCAAGCTTTTTAAAGGTGAGGCCAAAAGGTAAGGTAGTGAAAGCTACCTTGTTAAAGACAAGTCACAGCACTTGTTAAAAGGTTGGGAGACTATACAAGAGCATGTGGATGTGTTACACTTGCTGTTAATTGGACCAGCTACCTTAGAAATACAACAAGCTAACAGATTACACAGATACTTAGGCCAGTTGAACTGCAAATATCTGATCTAGTTATGCATCCCATTTGGAAATCCTTCTTGCTAGTTAATGGCATTATTCGCACCCTGGAAGGCGACAGATGCTAACACAGGACTATCATGAACCCCTCTGCAGGGCACACAACGTCATGTTAGGCAAATCTGTCCTCGTGAGATGAAAGGAAGTGCGATGGACAAGCAAGACGGTCCTTCTTTCTCCCTTCACTTTTTTGCGGAACTAGTAAGAACTCGGCGGGCCGCTAAAGCCAGTGTCCCCTGCTTCTGGGGTGGAGGGCGGGAGGAGAGGATAATGAAGAGGCATCCTTTTTTCACAGGGTGACCTTTACCACCGTCCCCCTACGAGCATCGGCGCTTGCTCTGGGGTGCACCGGCGATGCAAACCCCCTACCCACGCAGGCTCGCATGCCAGCCCATCTCGCTAGCCGGCCTAAAAATAGGAGCCGCCATGACCAAAAGGGAGCAGCTGGGGTCTCCCCAGCACAGCACAGCACAGCACAGCACAGCGCGCGCGCACGGGCCGGGCTGCCGAGCGCCGCTCGCGCTTCCTGCTCCGGCAGCCGCGCTCCAGACGCGGAAGCGGCTGCAGCAGCTGCTCCTGCTAGTCAGCCCGTCCGTCACCGCTAGCTGCAAGGTAACGCCTGGCCCGCGGCAGCGGGGCGGGGAAAGCCTCGGCGGGGAAGCCCGGACGGCCTGCGCGGTCGACAGAGAACGTGCAGGACCGATGGGCGGCGGCGCGCTCGAGCTCCCTTCCGGCCAAAGCGCCCTTCGCGCTTACCTGCCATGGTGCCGCTGACCCGGTGCGCAACCCACCGCAGGAGCACTGCCGCTACAGTCACTCTCGCTCCGTTTCCTTAGCCCCACGGCTTATATACGAGCAGGCGGTGCCCGGGGAAGGAGGCGGAGCTGCAAAGGATGACCAAAAAGGGACTGGCCATAGAGAAACACAAGGGGCGGGGTGGTGGTGGTAGAGAGAGAGAGATATATATATACACACACACACACACACACACACCCCTACACACACCCGCGATGCTTCTTGGAGGCGTGCAAGTGGCAAGATATCTCATGGCTGCGTTCCCAAGGCTTCTGCCTCTTTAAGAGGCGGGCACAAGAAGGCGGGCTTTCGTCCGGTGTAGTTTTTCCTGGTCCTTGTGCAGCTGTGGTGGGAGGCGCTGGGAGCCTTTGGGAGATCCTCGCTGGTTTCCACGAGCCCGGGCGCAGGGGATGCTCTAAACGAAAAGTTTTAGGCAGCTATCCCCAACCTGGTGCCAGGTGTTCATGGACTGCAACCTCCTGTATTCCTGACCATTCATCATGTTGGCTGCGGCTGATGGGAGTTGAAGTTTCATGGGAAAATTTAATGTTATATATACCTATCCGAAAAAAATGTACTGAAGTTGCCTGCATAACTACATATAACCTTTGCAATGCTACTGAACACCTTAGCTGGGATACCATGTAATAAGTGCAGATAAATGACCTCTGAACACACAAGCCCATGCTAGCCTTCGTGATGCAGCCTCATAAGATCATGCTTCTTCAGTGTGGATATGTGACCCGCTTTAGAGAGGGACAAGGTAACATAATGAGGTGTGGAGGGGGATGTTGCAGTGTGGCCTTGCTGATGTTCACTTTAAAAAGGCTACATTAATTGGGGTGTGGAAAAGCAGGGATGGTCCTAACATTAGGGAGTCTAAAGCAGAGACTGGGAGGTGGCAGCAGTAGCCCCAGAGGCCTGCTAGCTGATTTCTTGGTGGGCTGTTAGTTGGAGAGTTGTTTTTGCCATATGGTCTAAACTACCTGCTTGGTCAAAGCTACCTGCTGTCCTTGCGTGTGCTGGAGGATGCTCTCCCAAGGAAGATCCAACTGCCAGTCCTGTTGACTCAGGCAGCAAATGTCTTTGACTGGCCCAGTGGAAAAGGATGGATATTGCTAGAGCTGCAGTTTTCACATTCTTCTCCCCACTCCCATGGGCCACTTCTATTTTTGTTCCCAGCAGACCAGTTAATACATTTTGTTTGTTCTACAAATCAAAGCCCCTCCATAGCTCATATTTATTTTGTTTGGATTGACTCTCAGCTTACTGGCCATTATCTGGTCTGTTACTGCACCCTAGCGTGGATTCAGAACACGCACTGCCTCACCTGGATTTGATGTGTGTGTGTGTGTGTGTGTGTGAGAGAGAGAGAGAGAGAGAGAGAGAGAGAATGAGAATGAACTGGGTGTCATCTTTATACAGTGATACTTCACCTGGGTAACCTTCTCCAACAGTTTCATACAGATGTTCAACACATGTGAATACAATAGAGCCTTGTTAAGATCCATGAATCAAGGCAAGCTGGATGTGGTGAAACAAGAGATGACAAGACTGAACATCGACATCTTAGGAATCAGTGAACTAAAATGGACAGGAATGGGTGAGTTTAGTTCAGATGACCATCAGGTATACTATTGCAGGCAAGAATCCCTCAGAAGAAATGGAGTAGCCTTCATAGTCAATAAAAGAGCAGGAAAAGCAGTACTGGGATACAACCTCCAAAATGACAGAATGATCTCAGTTCGAATCCAAGGCAAACCATTCAACATCACAATAGTCCAAGTCTATGCCCCAACCACTGGTGCTGAAGAGGCTGAAGTTGACCAGTTCGATGAACGCCTACAACACCTTCTAGAATTAACACCCCAAAATGATGTCCTTATCATCATGGGGGACTGGAATGCTAAAATAGGAAGCCAAAAGATAACTGGAATAATAGGCAAGTTTGGCCTTGGAGTACAAAATGAAGCAGAGCACAGGCTGGTAGAATTTTGTCAAGAGAATATGATGGTCATAGCAAACACTCTTTTCCAACAACCCAAGAGACGACTCTACACATGGACATCACCAGACGGTCAATACAGAAATCAGATTGACTATGTGCTCTGCAGCCAAAGATGGAGAAGCTCTATATAGTCAGTAAAAACTAGACCAGGAGCTGACTGAATTAGATCTGATAGACAGAGTGCCTGAAGAACTATGGATGGAGGTTTGCAACATTGTACAAGAGGCAGCAACTAAAACCATCCCAAAGAAAAAGAAATGCAAGAAAGCAAAATGGCTGTCTGAGGAAGCTTTACAAATAGCTGAGGAAAGAAGGGAAGTGAAAGGCAAGGGAGAAAGAGAAAGATACAAACAATTGAATGCAGAATTCCAGAGAACAGCTAGAAGAGATAAGAATGCCTTCTTAAATGAACAGTGCAAAGAAATAGAAGAAAACAATAGAATAGGGAGGACCAGAGATCGCTTCAAGAAAATTGGAGATATGAAGGGAATGTTTCGTTTCATGCAAAGATGGGCATGATAAAGGATCAAAATGGCAGGGACCTAACAGAGACAGAGGAGATTAAGAAGAGGTGGCAAGATTATACAAGAAAGAGCTTAACGTCCCTGATAACCACGATGGGGTGGTCACTGACCTCGAGCCAGACATCCTGGAATGTGAAGTCAAGTGGGCCTTAGGAAGTCTGAGCAACAACAAAGCTAGTGGAGGCGACAGTATTCCAGCTGAGCTATTCAAAATCCTAAAAGACAATGCAGTAAAAGTGCTACACTCAATATGCCAGCAAATTTGGAAAACTCAACAGTGGCCACAGGATTGGAAAAGGTCAGTTTACATTCTGATCCCAAAGAAGGACAATGCCAAAGAATGTTCAAACTACCACACTCATTTCACATACTAGCAAAGTTATGCTCAAAATCCTACAAGCTAGGCTCCAGCAGTACGTGGACCGAGAACTACCAGAAGTACAGGCAGGATTTCGAAGAGGGAGAGGAACTAGAGTTCAAATTGACAACATACACTGGATCATGGAGAAAGCTAGGGAGTTCCAGAAAAACATCTACTTCTGCTTCATTGACTATGCTAAAGCCTTTGATTGTGTAGATCACAACAAATTGTGGCAAGTTCTTAAAGAGATGGGAGTACCAGACCATCTTATTTGTCTCTTGAGAAACCTATATGTGGGTCAAGAAGCAACAGTGAGAACTGGACACGGAACCACTGATTGGTTCAAAATTGAGA